TTTGTGCACGTAAGGTGAAATCGTAATAATTCCTGCGTAGTGCAGTGAATTGTGCGGTTCTCGGAGCTTGTGAGTGTCCAAAATCAAGTAGATAGTGTCTCTGCTTCAATAACTTCACAATGTTCTCTTTCGACTGCAGAGTTTGTCTTCCGTAAGTTTCATGGTTCTGGCGCGGAAGACTACAGAGTTGCCACTCTAACTCAATGACCCGGCATGGATAATACAGGTGTCCATTTCAACAACCGTTTTTTCGTGTCGTAGTCGGTTGGGCCGACCATTGGGTCCGTAGGTTCCTTAAGTTAGTCGAGTGAAGTCCGGACAAGTTCTAAGGTCGATAATATTTTACTTGTTTTAAACGAAAAACAGTTCTAATAGATGATTTACTGTCATGAGTAGACTCATTCTCGCAATGCACTGTCGGGCATCAGCTTCACACACAGCCGTTATAGCTGTCGGATGGTTTGTTTTCGCTCTGGGGCAGCTTGTAGACTTAGAACACCAAAAACAAATTTGTTCACAACTAGTACGTCATACCAAGGTTTTAGCTACTGAGAGAAGTAGTCCAGGTTATGATCGTGCTCAACGTTGGTTTGTCTGCAAATTGTGGTGTCTGTTTGGACTATCGCTCCAGCAATGTTTTCCATTTTAATACTATCAAATACACGACAGTATTAGTCACACTAAACGGAATAGGGCAGTCTGGGAAAGGCAGACTGACGCTTCGAAAATAGTGTACCGTCCCGTACCATGCTGTGGGAATTCGGTGATTAGCACTTCATATCCCATTTCATGTGTGGAAACGGAACTGACAGAAGTACTGATATAGAGTGAAGCTCGGAAATAGGTTCTGTCGACAAAGATGCCGCAAACAGTACGGGATAAGCCGATCAGAGCTACATCGACAAATGAAGTAGATAGTGTCGCACCGCGTAACCTGGTGGCCGCCAACTACAAATCACTCGTGGACCCATTGGGACCACGTGGCCATCAGCCACCGGTGGAGAGCCACAACTCAAGACTGCCGTTCCTTCTGGGGCACACCACTTGATTCCGATCACGCCATGGTACGCGCACGCTTCAGGCCCTCGCAAGTTGGTAAGAAGCATGCCAATCCACCAGCTTCGAAGAACTGCCATAGCTCAACAGTATCGATCTGAGCTAGCCCAACAACTCTCCACAGTGAAACAATACTGTGGTGGCAGTGAGCATGTGGATGAAGCGTGGCAAAATGTGAAAGCAGCCGTACTAGAGGCGTTCAGTGCTGCTTGCCCGACTTCTCCAATTCGACCACAAGACCACTGGATGTTGTCGAGGTCGCTATCCATGATTGATGCCAGGAAAGCCATACTAGCAGGCAACGAGTACGACGGCGCACGCAAATCCTTCAAACGCCAAATGGTGAAGAGTCAAAGGAAAGCCCGAGAGCTCTGGTGGACATCGAAAGCTCGGGAGATGGAGAAAGCTTTTGCTACGGGAAATAGCCGTGCCCTTTATCAACTGATATGATCGACTGGCCCTAGGAAAGCAACGGTCACCGAAACGATAGAGGAAAAAGATGGCTCATTAATTCACTCGCCAAAACGTCGACTGGAGTGATGGTCCGAACACTTTGAAGGGCAGTTCAGCTGGCCTCCTGCAACACAGCCGGTGGAAATAATGCATACGGGCGAATGGAATGTAAACCTTGATCGCCCTTCGGAAGACGAAATAAGGTACGAAATAGCCGTACTGAAACGTGAGAAGTCACCAGGACCGAGCGGTCTGCATCCAGCTCTCTTCAAAGAAGGCGGAAAATCCCTGGTGACCCACCTGACAACGCTTATTGGTACTATGTGGGACAAAGAAAAAGTGCCTGCAGAATGGGGCATGTCGACAGTTATCCCTATCCTCAAAAAGGGTACGCGGACGCTATGTGAAAACCACCGTGGCACCTGTTAGTTAGCTGTGACATCGAAGGTGCTCTCCGGTTGACTAAACACAGGGAGAAGCAGATCCGTGAAAACCAAGCTGGGTTCCGTCCTGCAAGAGGTTGTGTCGATCATATCTCCACCCTCAGATAGATTCTGGAACAGCGACACTGCTTCCAACAACCAACAATGGTTGTGTTTCTTGATCTGAAATCTGCCTTTGACTCTGTGGACCGCCAAGCACTATGGCAGTGTCTGTGGAGCAAAGGTGCCCCCCATAAATTATTGACCCTCATTAGGACGCTATGCGCCAACTCCCGCGACCGTGCAAAGGTCTACGGGAAGCTTTCTCCTGAGTTCACCACATCAAGTGGTGTCCGGCAGGGCTGTCCTCTTTCCCCTTTCCTTTTCAACTTCGTCACTGATACGATCATGGAAGACTCACTACCAGCCTCTAATGCATGTGGGGTCTAAGTGCTCCCCGGGCCTCCGCTCACAGACATCGAGTACGCAGACGACATAGCTGTTCTGGGATCTGACCCCGTGGTAATGCAAACAATATTGAATGACCTAAATAATTCTGCCTCACGGTTTGGCATGCGCCTCACACCTGCAAAGTGTAAAGTGCTACTGCACGGCTGGGTGGACTCGAACCCTAGCCTCATACTTGCGGACGAACCTGATTGAGGTAGTAGACAAATTTGTTTAGCTTGACAGCTGTATCGGTCCCGGTGGTCTGGCGAAAGATGATATTTCCATCCGGATTAGGAAGGCCAGAACAGCGTTTGCGAACCTACGTTACCTGTGGTGTAGGCGTGACATCAGCTTTTCCGTCAAGGATCGAGTTTATAATACTGCGGTGCGCACCCTATTACCATATGGATCAGAAATCTGGCCGTTGCGCGCTCAGGGCGTCAAAAGACTCAGTGTCTGACCGTCGATGTCTTCGGAGCATTGCCCGAATCTGGTGGGAACACGGGATCAGCAATTCTGAAGTAGGTCGAATGGTATTCGGAAGAAATAACGCACTCTCGATAGATGAACTGGTCACACTGCATAAATGGCGCTGGCTTGGCCACGTGCTGCGTACGCCAGTTGACCGACTTCCTCGAAGGGCTGTTTTCGCACAACGGCGGAAGAGAGCCAGAGGCGGTCAAATAGTGACTTGGCATCGAAGTGTGAAAGCCATTACCAGCAAACTCAGCTGCGCTGGTCACCGCCGTCTTCCTAGATGAGGACCCCGAGACGGTCCACATCAACGGTTAGAGACATTGTAAGACATAGGTCAGTCGCGCCCTCGATGGCGCTCGTGCATCCAAGCTATTGCCTTCAATGCATAGCTTCTTTTCCACCTCCCCACTCGACAGCCCACTGACAGTGCTGGATTTATGCACCAAATCACCAGCTCTCGCGTGCAATGCGCAGCTACCTCCCCTTCCCCCCAAATCATCGGTGAACGAAACTGCGGCAGCTGCAACCACTGTACGACGAGTACGCCGTTATTACAGCTGACAATGATGATGATGATGATGATGATGATGATGATGATGATGCACGGAAGACATACTGATATGGCCAGTGTTTGACCACCGGTACTCAACCGGCCCAAGGTTAATAACAGTTGCAGAAATGGCGCAATCACAATGACACTCGTGCATCAAATTTATTACCTGCACTGCTTAGCTACTCAGTTTCAGAACATGCCAGAGCTTTCAGTGTTTGGTTATCTTGTCCTCCAATGCGCACCTACTTACCCCACTTCCCCAAATCATCGGTGAACAAAACTGTGACAGATGCAACCACTGTACGACAAGTACGCGGTTCTTGCAGCTGATAATAACGATGATGATGATATCCTGCCAATGTTCTTCCACGTTCCTATGAACGAAGCCGTAGTAGTTAGAACCAATTTCTCACGGTACATGGATTACAGTTGGTAAACTGAGTTTGACCGGAAGTTGCGTTAGATCCGAGTGCAGTTCAACACATGAAGTCAATGCGGCTATCTCCAAGAGTCCGATCGCTTTTGTTAATTTGAGAACGGATGGGGACGAGGCAGTGTATTCCTGAATCTAAACGGACTGTTTCGTTGTGAGCCAAATTTGAAACAGAGTATGGCAGTTGAATGCAGTAATAAGGTAAAGGGTTGGCCGAAGAAACAGGATTTTAAAACATTTAGTGAGGGTAGAATTGCAGAGGCCGCTGAAGACCTAACGGAACGAAGAAGGATATCCGGAAGAGTTACAACAAAGGTCAGGTGGAAAAAAACGGGAACGATATGGCGTTTAGCACTTCATCCAAAAACGTCTGTGCCTATTACTCGTCCAATAGGGGAACTGTGTCACCTGCATATTCCAGGACGACAAGGTTTCCGTTAACAGCTATGTGAACACCATCTGGCCTTCGTTCGCACATCCAAAAATCTCTGGATTTACTTCACATGTGGATTGATGATTGGTGGAAAAGCACCACATTAAGATCAGGGTTTGTTTATAGAAATCTTTCGATCACCGTACTTGGTACGTTGCGTATATTTGCTTCTTATACTTTCGCTCCTTATCGAATTGATATGTACATTAATTCCCATTGGGCATTCAGGCTTTATTGTCTGTAGAAAGTGCCTCAACCCTCTGTTCTCTTGTTGGGTGTCCTTAATTCAGGTCACGATTTATATAATTGATGGCGGTTATATGGCATTTAAATTTGTTCCATACCGGCGTTCTGTGAAATGACGCAAGTTGTTATTGTTCCGAGTAGTAAACATGTGATAAACCATACAGGAAATTATAATTAATGTCACAAGCTGAATTTTGAATTGAATTTGTAAATAATCTCGATGAAGGATGGAACAGTGTGTTGAGATTACTGAGGCCAGTATATTGGTGTTTAGAGTGAAGCCTAAATCATTCGATCGTGAAAAATATTGTCGGCTGGAAGATGAAGGATCGCCATTCTGCCTTGTTTTCATATTTCCCATCTCAACCCGCGTAGTTCTTACCCTAGTGTGGTGAGTACTGTGTTTTGTTCCTCTACGCTTTGTGTGCCAGTACGTACTCATTCTAACTTCAGCGTGATGCACCTCACGGTTTCATAATGAACGGCAACAGTCATGCTCCAATGGACACAGAGTCGAACGAAAACAAAAAAGTACGTTTCATCTTTCCTTGCACGTGGTCATTTAGTCTCGAATGGAATATGTTGAAACAGTGCCTTCAAAAGTGGTTCACATTCGGAACGTGCCTGGTGACGCATCAGAACATGAAATAGCTCTGCTGAGTATCCCTTTTGGAATGCTTGAAAACATGGTTTTATCGAAAAAAGCTGGTCAGGTAAGTCTTCTCAGGAACTCTATAGTGCTTTGAAGGCTCTCGTCGAGATGCAGTCATTGGACAGTGCGATACAGATGGTCTCGTACTATCGTGAATATCAAGTCACTCTACGCGGCCGAACACTGATAATGCAATTCTCCAAACATCAGCATCTAGAGCTTATGTCTGAAAACAGTCAGATAGTCGAGGCGATCAACAACGCTAACTGCATAGTACAGCAGGACCTCAGCGGAGCAAACTCTGGTGTCCCAAACTCTGTTTTGCGTGTCATAATCGACTATATCATGGGACAACAGATCAACCACACTATTCTCCATAAAGTAAGTAGGTCATGAATGTACCCTGACGACAAACAGATTTTTTACCGATATGGAAAAATCTTACGCATCATAACATTTCCGAAGAACAATCAGTATCATGGACTGATTGAATTCGAGAACCATATTCATGCGTTTGTTGCAATGTTGGTAAGTGTGAGACTAACTAAACTTCATTCCCCCAAGCATTTGAATGGACAAAATATTTATACTGGGTGCTGCTCACTGCTTGTTGAGTTTTCGAAAAACCGGGGTCCTTTGGAAGTACGACATGAAAGTGACAAATGCCGTGACTACATCAATAACCCTCTGACGGAAGAAGAATTGGTGAACCTCAAACGTCCTACCAGTTCCTCACAAGGCGGTGGCGCCGGCGTTGGCCATCATTCCAGCAGTGGTAGCAGCTTGCCCCCGAATTTCCATGGTGCTGTTGTACCCAGCATGACACCACAAGGTATCCACTTCCCAACTGGCCTGATTGCTTCCCCTAGCACCAGTGGTGCTGCTATTAACGATCTCACGGCTCAGCTTGCCGCTTTAGCTCAGCAGTCCGGTCTGGCTCTTACACCGGCTGCAGCTGCGGCTACGGCCAGTTTTATGGCCTTAACTGCCCAAAACAATCCAGCTGCCCTACAAGCAATGACAGGAATGCCCAATCTGGCAGTCCTGTTAGCAGCTATGCAGGGTGGTACTGTACAGAATCCAATAATTTCCCACCTCACTGGTCATAATGCGAACGCACTGGGTCCTATGCAACATTCTATGGCGCCGCAGGTTACTGCACGCACACCATCGAACAACAACGGCGGTACCGTACTCATTGTTTCCAATTTAAATGAGGAGGTGAGTGTACGGGTTTTGTTTTCACAGTAATTTCCCAATTATCTTATTCGGCAACCGCTAAATCGTTATCTCGTTTCTCTTCACTTACATGTCCTTCAATTACTTCTCTACCACCAATCCCGCGGTCTTTCCTCCTCCTGTGTTGGTTGGCTGTGCAAAACTTGTCACACTGTGTCAATCCGGATTTTCACGATCAATTTCGTCGTTTCTATTCGTCTTCTGCTGTTCTTTGCCGTATTCAATTCTGCACTGTGAATCTTCACATGATCTATGCACATATATATCTACATACTCACACACGAATCTGTCCTTTACTTGGATCCGTTGTTTCCATCTTGATCTTGCTGCAGCGAGTGTATCCGGACGCTCTCTTTACCCTCTTTGGTAGGTTCATTGTCTGTCTTCAATTTTTCGCAAATCCACCAGTTTTTGCGCGTATAATGTGATTTCTTCATTTATAACTAGTTAGGTTTATTACTCTTGAGTACCCCTTGCCGTACCTCTTTGAAACAACAGCTTTCAACGTGTTGAAATCTATTAGGGGGTGTATTTAAGAACACTTGTTTCATTTTGTTGCCATTGGTTGTCCGGAAAAAAAAGTAGTCCTCACCAAGTTAGTCGCTTTTGGGGAGGTCTGACCAATTTTTCATTTTCATACAGATGCATTTTGGATGAACATTCTACTCAATCTATCCGTTCAACATATAGTCCCATTATTTGGTCTCCTCATTTGGACTAATGTGTGATTTCCCGAAACCTTTCCTTTCACTCCTAGATCAATGGCCATCACTGTCTCGTCTATAACTATAACTGGTATCCAGAAGCTTGAGGTTGGACATTACTGCACTAGAATGTCCAGTGTTTACTTTGCACATATGCACATAACAATTCGGCGGCATTGAAGTGACTAGGCCGTTGCGTCACTCTCCTCTGTATTTTCCGTTTACAGTGCACGAATGTGTAGCACCTGGGACCGATATATCCGTGGTACACTGTTTGTAGTTGGATGCTTGGTCTGATTGTGTGCTCTCCGGTCACTCGGGTAGATTGAGACCCCAAACCATTGGTACTGGCCGATTAGTTCTTTCCATTCCAGTGGGTCACCTGTGTAGGTGGCCTGTTACTTATGACGCCAACTGGTAATTCGTCCTGTCATGACAACTATACCGCATTCATGTGTTTTATTTCCACGCGTTTTGAAGCGGAACATTGACGGCATTATGTCGGCATTGTCCGAAGATTCTTCTGAGTGGTCACGTGGTCATTCAGTTCTACCTATCCTAGTCCCATACGTTTGTTTGCATCAATGACATAGTATAGATCATGTTGACGGTTACGCCTATTTTATTAGAAGTAGTCGACTAGATGCAGTGGGTCTTACCTCCACATACTTCGTATGTACAGAAACACCCAAATGGATCAGTAAGCATCCGCAGATGTTTTACCGCTGACTGTATTCATAAAGTCGACTCTAGCTGCCATGGCTAACATCCGATTACCCTTAGGATCCTAAGTACACGCGTTGATCGTTAGGCACAATGTCACTGTAGGATTGAAAGCATTGGTGTTGACCACAATCAGTCGATTTTCAGTATTTCTTATCGGCTAACATTATCGGTTATTTGTGTTGGGTCTTGGACGAAATCACTTCCTGAATTGGGAAGGCCAGTGCAACGTTTGATAACCTACATTTGTGTGGCTTGAGTGTCAAGGTGTCACAGTCCGATCTGTTTTACTTCACGGATCAGAGACAGCCGCTGTGGAAGACTCTAAGGCTCATCGGTTGACCATAGGCACCTCCGAAGCATTGTCCGAGTCTGTTGGGGACACCAGGTCAGTAACTTTGAAGTACGACGGATGGTTTTCGGGGAAGTTCACTCGTTAGATCAACAGGTCACACTTCACAGGTTACGCTGATTAGGCCGTGTCTTCGTATGCCTGAGGACCGCTTACCTGATAAAGCTCTTTAAGCCAAGCAGTGTTCGGAGCGTTCAGTCTATAACTTGGCAACGGTTCATGAAAGTCCCTACCAGCCAGCTGATTCGCTTTGGTACTTGTCGTCTCTCCGGATGGAAAACACTGGTCAAGACAAATCAGTGGTTAGTAACCCTGAGAGATACGGCTGTCACCCAGTCAGTGACGATCTGTCATGAAAACTGTAGCCGCGTAACTCTCAATCCCCGCCACATCGAGCAAACAAGCATTCGACCTCAACGAGGGGCCACAGCCTCCAATGCGTGGCTGTCATTTCCTTATTCTCCTCATCTTTGGCGAACGAAGCTTTAACAGTTGGAAGCACTGCATTTCGATGCGCGATTTGTGAGCTGAAAAACAACTTTGTTTGGATCTCCAGTATCCCGTAAAATGGTTCGTTTGATGCTTTCGCTAATTGTCAGTCCGATCTACTCCTTAAAATTACCCAAGGCGCTTCCACCCAGAATTACACGAAATACACAGAAATGGGTCGTTTCCAGATTATGTGTTCAAAGGGGCCACCAGTAGTCGTCCGTTGGCAGTCTTACGGGCAGTATATTTTCTAGAATTGGCGGCGAAAGCCTTATTTCTTAAATCTGCCCACGCAATGCTGGGAATAAGGCCCAAAAGCTCAAACTTGTGGTGAGTTCGGCGTCGTGCGTCAATTGTGGCAGTTTTTCAATGAGTAAGCATGTTTTTAGACGACATACTGACCACGAGAAGTTACATTTACGACCATTTAGCTAATTTCTTCCACAGCTTTTATTAAAACTACATACGTTTAAATGTTCCCCGCTTTCTCAACTGCAGGTGTATACGGCGATGTTACGCGTGTAAAAATCATGTTCAACAAAAAGGATACGGCCTTGATACAGTTTACCGATGCTCAACAAGCATCCACCGGTGAGATTTTTGCGCGTTTTCTTATCCGATTTTCATAGCCCTACAGTTTCTTTCTGGCCAGCGCCTGTGGGGGAAGCCTATGAAAATTGCGGTCTCGCGTCACAATGTTGTACAGCTTCCAAGAGAAGAGCCCGAAAATGGTTTGACCAAAGACTATAGCACTAGTCTTTTGCATCGTTTTCGGAAACCAAACTCGAAAAACTTTCTGAATATCTACCCTCCTAGCCAAATTCTACATTTGAGCAATATTCCCCCAACTATCGCGGAAGAAGACATAAGACTCCTTTTTGCTACCAAGGGTTTCGACGTCAGTGGTTTCCGCTTCTTGCAGTAAGTTCGCAACCATCAATCTGTGCATTTTTTTCAGGAAAGATAGACGAATGGCGCTTGTACAGCTGGAATCTGTGGACACTGCTATTCAAGCACTCATCGTAAGCATCCACCCATTAGATATATACCTGTTGATTTCAGGAGCTTCACAACAGCCAACTGACAGAAAACTCGCATTTGCGAATCAGCTTCAGCAAATCTATGGTTTGGAATCCAATGGGCACATCCTGAATGACATGACCATGCAGTGTTATTCCCTCTGACTCACTTCAGTTCATCGAATGTCATAATGTTCGACACTCGTGCGAAGGAAAATGAAAAACGCCGTGTATGCTTTGTTCGATCCGGGTCGACGACACATTATAACTTTGTATTATGAAACCACTTTTTGCTTATTGATTTAGGGGAATCGTGAAATGCTTTCTACAGCTTGATGAATAAGGTCTTGTGGGAGCTGTCCTCATCTGACTACTAGGCGGTCGAAAGGATGCGTTTATCCTGAGAAGACTGTAGCAACGTCTAAGTTGAGTCACATCGAACCACCCATTTCGTTGAATAAAGCTCACACCGGTCTGCATACTTCTCTGATCGATCGTGCGACATGCAGGTGAAGCTTTGTTTAATGAGCTACACCATTTGTGGAGTCTTCTACTTGTCATCATGCTAATTAGATCACCAGCATCCTCCCGGTGAATGAACTCTAGTTGGCCTACGGTTGTTGACGGTAGTAGGTATTTTTCTATCCCCAGGACTAACAGATTAAATAAAAAAATTTATGGTGACAAGAAGCCTTGCTTCTTCGACTCAGCTACCATCGTGTCACGTGCTTTGAAAAGTGCAGTCTGTGCGGCAAAGAGAACTTGATCCGACTGTCGTAAGAAGAACATCGTCAGTTAGCGTGATTGAGCGAGGACCCGAGGGTAACAATGACGAGGGACCTACTTTTTATAAAAGACAAGGACGCCATTTTACTGAGCGACGCCATAGCGAGCGTGGATTGATAACAAGTAACAATGTTCAGTGAAATATGTCCAACATGGTGAACGTCCGACAGTATCTCTTATAACTAGTATACGGCAACCTGAGGACATTTTGATGTTCTTCAGTGTGCAGTTTGGTTTTCACTTTGGAGTGTTAGTCAAAAGTTAATCAGACGTACCAATCGCAGATTTTAGACCTGGTTTTCACAGGAAAAATGATTCTGCCGTCACTGCCATGAGCGTCTCGACGGAGCATTGAAGTTGTTTTATGTTGACATTTTGAAACCAGGTTTTCGCAGTGGTATATCTGCGAGTTGTAGCAATCGTGGTTAGCGATCAATGACATTTTCAAGCCAGTTCAGGATCTATGAAACCTCAGACTGCTGCGTGGATTATTGCAAATCTAATGTTTTCTGGCAACTTGTCACTGGTAGCTGCACTGCAACACGGTGAACTAGGTTGCTGCTGTCATGATGAACATCACCAGAGGGTATCCGTGATGCCATACTCGATGCAAAGCGGGAACTATCTGGTAACTCTTCGAGTCTTACAACAGTACTCGGAATTACGATCACTTCATCGGAATTTAAAAATGGTTAATTTTTTGGAGGTTAGATCAAGCAGTGTTCACATGCCGCCCACTACATTCTAAGAAGTCGCTTGTCTAATACCGTTCAGCTGTAGCAGTTTCGGTGCCTAGCTTCCATGCCATACGAAAGAGGCACGAGGGCTGGGATACTGCCAGGTCGCCCAAGCCTAGGCAGGGGAAGTCGAGTAGCAGAGGTCGGGTTCGACCCACGGACCCGCCGGTCAGTGAATTCGCGCTCTAACCACTTAGTCCATCTCGCTTGTCCAATGACCCACATTTGAGCCCTTTCCTTAGTCCACCCTCTGGGTCATTTGTATTATGCCTATGTTTCGTCCGTTGGGGTGATGTTTGTTGCGAAAGCCAATTTTCCGGTGGGTGAACTAGATACCCCACGGGCTACTCTGGTTGTTCCGCACACTGCAGATTGCCATCCGCACCTGCTAACTTCTGCTAACTTCACTTTAAACATCACCATAGCAGGTTGGTTGGGAGCCAAACTGAACTCGTGTGAGGCGATATCAAAGTAGATTTGGACGGGATTTCTGGGCAATCCTGGTGTTATCAGCAGACAACTAATTTTACCGGCTGGTGCTGAGGAAACTTCAGTAACGAAGCTTTCATCAGCATTGTACCTCGAGGGCCAAACCATGTTCCATGATTGTTCGGGGTGTTGCTGCCACGGCGGCCTGATGACAGCGCTAGCCAGGCGTCATACCACAGTACTGTGTCCTAATGCAATTACTATACCTCCTCCCTCGTATGGCGATGAGACACGACTAAATCAACTACCGAACATGGCGAACAAATATATGTCCAAATTACAGGACGTCGTCTGCTGTATTGTTTGACTGGATTGTTCAGGTTAGGCGACCTGTGAATCCGCACCCGACAGGGTTCGGGGCTTTCGACATACCTTTCTGACGGTTTGTGGGTACATTGTGGTTTGTTTTGCCCGGGATGCGTTCTCAACTCCGCAGTACTTGAACGGTAGCAGTGTTCAGTGAACTGAAATCATAAGTGTTTGCTTATATGTAGCCAGGCGTAGCTATGCAGCATACTTATTTTCCTCGGTTCCTCATATGAGCCACCTAGTTAGAATGAAGCCAGTTGTTGGGATTCATAAAACAGGTATGCTGTAGATTTCCCAGACATGTTGAAGAAATGGAAGCCTGCTATACAGGAAAACGCTTGCCTGTTGGATTTTTACTGTCATGATTGCCTGTGCATGTTTTGAGATAATTTGGTGGTTAACGCTGTTAGCTAGACGACAGTGACGTAAATCTGTTCTTTAGGTTTTGCCCGAGTTGTAGCCGAAGTTCTGTGAACTAAGGTTTTCCCTGCCATTTCGTAAAAACGGAGACTCACTGAAAGTCTTTTAAATAGTTTTTGACGTAATGAAATGCTCAGTTCGGGTCATACCCGGGCAAGTTCACAACTAAATTACGGCTAGTGGTTCATCATCATCATGACCTTACGTTATGTTTGTCCAGCATAATTAACGCCAGGGTGTAATTACATGCGACATGCGATCAACGCAAGCAAGCACGAAACTGAATTGTAGGCTTCATAGTAGCTTCTGGATATCCGCATGTATCCTATGTCTGCTTTTCCTCTGACTCAGCTTATGAAAATTGTCAAAATCATCCCTCGCTTACAGTGGAATACGTCAAGAAATTCGCACTTTGTGGCTCGTAATGCACGGTGGTTCAGCGAAGATTCGTTCTATTTTATTGGGGGGGGGGGTTGATTTGTAAATCAAGTTGAATAAAACTGTCGGAATTTTCTGTTGAGGCACGCCGTCAAATATGTCTGCAATGTTTCCTCGAGAGTGGATTTATTATGGTCCTTCTCGTGCTAATTTAAGTTAGGGAATGTGTATAACTTTGGTTACTTCCCTGAATGACAATGCTATGGATGTTTGAGATTTGCGGAGTTTTCACCTAGTTTAAACACTCTGGAGTGGAACTAAGATAGAGGAGGGGTATTAATGTATTTTTCTAATCGAACACTCCTGGGGACTTAAATTCTCTATGCCTGCTCAGTGAATTTAGAATGTGGAATCCTGGTTTACGTTTATGTCCTTCGTTCTCCTTTTGGACTCACATCCTGCAATTGACTCCTATGCATGACACCATCGCCACCCTTACTTTTGGACAGTCTCGAAACCGTACTCCCCAAGAAAGACCTATTACATGCCACCTCTCAGAAGGGACATGACAGGCTTTTACAGTGGTTTGGGCAATTACGCCAATACTGATAGCTAGTATCGTGGAGGGTTTGATTGGTGGATGCCAACACATGAATACCAAGGTGATGGTCAGTCGGAAAACACTGATATCCAAACCTAATTTTGATTCCACCAGACAATGCAACCATAGTAGTCTTATCGAAGCCCGTCATGAACTGAAAAGCATCGTTGTGCTCTACTCGATAAGTTAGGTTATAAAGTCTGGTAAGGAAAACACGTGACTGTCTTCTGAACCAGTTGTGTGTACGGATGGTGTGGCACAATCCCGTCCGTCAAGATTTGTTTCCTTGCTGCAAAATTGTTTTGGTTTTTAAATGTACTAGCACTCCACCGAAATTCCAGTCTCCATTTCTCCAACACGATGCGAAAGCTTTGCAATGGGGCCCCAGTTAGGTATCTAATTATTGACATGAGGATGAACTTGTATTCCTAAATGATTTGAATGGAGCACTATTACCAATGTCATTTCTTCCCTGTGTTGGGATTAAATTTTGGACAATGGGCAACTTGTAAAGTCCTCTAATAGTGAAATCCTTCCCTAAAAGGTCACGGAAAGATACCATTTTATTGGATTCTCACGGGGGAAAATTTACGTGTTCTAAAGAGACCACTTGAAGGATTCAACGAAAAGTGATTTCCTTTAAAACGTGGTCTTCTAAAGAGACAGATGTGCGTCTATCTGTTCTCGAGAGAGTGATATAAAGGTCAATCGAAAGTGATCATATCTGCGATTTGGTCACTGGTTAAAGAGTCGCCTATTAGCACACTATTTCAGGGACTAAAGCAAAGTTGTTGCTTCCGATGTCCTCTTCAGATGTGAGGAATTAGACAAACTGTTATACTTTACCTCAACTAAAGGCACAATTTCTCTGAAGTACATATGGTCGCACACTTAATTTTCAGAATAAAACTCCCTGTGCTGTTCCCGTGAAATTTCTTGAGGTTAAGAGAATTTTAGCCTTCACATGGACCTTTTGATGGTTGTCAGATGGAGACGAAAATACCACGCCAGTCACTTTGCTGAAGGTAAAAAATTTGAAACGGTGCAATCGGAAAATGAGAAGGCAGAGGGGATTCCGTTTACAGTATCCGTTGTTTGCTGCTTGTACAGTTATCGCGCTGGAGATACCATATCAGGGCAGCAAACAATGGTCGCCTCTTCTTGTAGGAAGTTTGCTACGGGGATTCCCTTCATGTTCACAATGATTGTAGTCTCTCCTGGAAGCGGCCGTTTCAAAAGTAAAAAATGACTACTTCGGGAGACTCACAATAAAGAACTAAAATACCGCCTGACTACACCACATCAGATGCGTCGTTGTAATTATCTTCCAAAGCTATGTACTAATTAGCTAGACCCAACTGTTGGGGTCGATGGACAACGGTACAGGATTGACTCTCTTTACTTTTAACCACT